CCTTTCCATTTTTCACTCAAGGGCATCAGACAAATCTCCCCACAATGTCACACATTTTTTCCACCGTCCTGGGAACGTTTGGTCCCCGCAAAGCTAAACCCACACACACACACACACACACACACAGACTATATATGAAATGTAATCTATAACGTTGGAGATGAGCGAGGAATATTTGTTTATCATGCACCGCAGGCGCTGGAGTTTAATTTTATTTCCCCAACACCAGTTTATTTATTTACATTATTTATTTATTTACACCGGTTAATTGCACAGGGATGTGCAGAGTAATTTATGCATTCAAAATTGTTGACTGCAAATAAATATCACTGGTAAAAAAAAAAAAAAGTTAAGGTCATGTAAAGGCGAAATGCCTGGTTTAGAATGGTAATGGGAAAACGCTGAAAAAAGCACTGTATGCAGAAGTGAAGCTGGTTCAGTTTTCACGGTCAGTTTCAGGTCCTACTGGATTTCCATCGGTATTTTTTCACCACAGGCCCTGCTCTTATAGGAATGGAGGAATTTGAAGGTCCTATAGCTGCCAAAGGGGAAGTGTGCACGGCCACATGCATGCGCAGCAACATCAGGAGCACTAAGTGGACACAGGGGAGAGAGGTGTAGCTACACAGCCTTATTGAGACACAGTTTAATATGGGAGGTGTCCATTTAGAGCTGAGCTGAGCCATTAACATTCTCTCCAAGCGCCTGACTATTATGTGTTGCCCAGCGGTGGGACTGAAAAATTGTGTTGACAGATTTAAACCTTTAAGACTGGTGGCTGTTAGGAGATATGCCCAGTTCAACTGGACTAAATAACCAGGATGTTTCATGTAATTAAACAGGTTCAAGGAGATTGTGACTTTGGTCATCTTGTCGTGTACCCATAGCAACATCTGCCAATTTTCACAGCAATCAGACAGATGTTTCTCCAGATTCACCCTGAAGAACCCATAAAAGTATTTTTTTTTCCATCATAATTGTTTTTTGATTGCTGATTTGTGTGTACAAAGCCCTATTTGAGCTGGATTAGTTTGACCAGAAGAGGTCCGGTAATGTAATTTGTGTGCGATTTGACTGACCGATTCATACAGAACAAAGGATCCAAATAGCCCAGATCGAAACATCATCGCGTGGACGAAGTACACAAACCATGTACTTGAGTTAAAGTAGAGAGACCCAAGGTAAAATATTACTCCAGTAAAAGTAGAAGTTCCTCCCTTTAGACCTCCACTTGAGTAAAAGTACAGAAGTATTCACCTTCAAATGTACTTAAGTATCAAAAGTAAAAGTACTAAAAGATTAATTATGACTTTAATGTCCTATTATCATTTTTATAACAAGACTCTGCTTCATTAACTCATTTTAGGTGAAAATACTTTATAGTGTAGTGTCAAACTATACTATATACTCTAGTGTCACTCTGGGTAAACCAATCTTTTTAATCGAAAAACTTGCTTTAATCACAGGTTCACAAATGAGTTTCCTTTACTAAACTGCATCTGTAGGTCTCTGTTCATAAACATAAACTAGCCAAAACTAATTTACTATAAAATGAAATGTGTTTATATAAATTCAGAATAAAGACACGTCAGTCACAACTGCATATGTGTACATATTTCTATATTGTGGTCTGTTTACACAAAGTTAGGTTAGTTCATCATTTATGTTGAATAGACTCTCCCAAAATTTTACGCTGCTGCACTGATGTTGAACCGTGTGCTGCACTGGGTCGGTATGACCAACAGGTCAAAACAAGCTCAAAACAAAGTGCGCTGTCCAAAGAAAAACAAGTATCTCCAAGCTGTTTATCCTTCTGGGTTGCGGGGGGGAGCTGGAGCCTATCCCAGCAGTCATTGGGTGGACGCAGAGCAGACAGACAGACATATACATACATTCACACCCCAGGGGCAATTTAGCATGTCCAATTAGCCGGGCTGTAGGAGGAAACCCACACAGACACGGGGAGAACATGCAAACTCCACACAGAAATGACCCTGGTCGCCCGGCCGGGAATCAAACCCAGGCCCTTCTTGCTGTGAGGTGACAGCGCTACTCACTGCCGCCCCTATGCTCAAATATTTTTGCAAAAACCAAAACATGTTTTTCTGTGTGCTGATCTCACTATTACAGATGTAGATACCAGATAGTAATTATAAAAATGCTACATAAAGCAGGTCTCTAGGTTTAACCCTTTCATGCTTGGTGACCCCAAATGTGAAGCCATTTTACTGGTAAATTAGCTCCAACCTTAAGTTACTTGGCTGAATCATGATTCCCAACACATAATGTAGCGTCAACTATTAATGACTATCACAAATTCATTTTTCCATTCAGTCTTTTCACCGTTGCTGTGGGGCGTAGGGGTGCTGAGGGGGCTGCAGCACCCCCAGATTTCAGGTTTATTAAAAAATAACTGAAAAAATAACAAAAGAACAGAACTGAAAAATATTTTGAGCATAGCAAAGATCCATGAGTGCTGGAGCTGGTATTTTCGTTTTGTTGTATTTACATTTGCAGTATCCGTGCAGTGTTTGAGGGCATTTTAGAGCGAGCTGAATCACTGTTGGCCACTTTGGGCATGTCGCTAAAACACAAGCAGGAGTTATTGAGCTGTTTCTGAGCCCCGACGCAGCCTAATAATCTTTTAGTACTTTGTTTTCAACCAACATAATTATGTCCCACCCCCATCCATTTTTCAACCACCGTAATAATCTCCCACTGTAGCTTGACTAACATCAAAAGTCTGACTGGTCGACGTTTAGCTCATTTACACGAAGTTTGTCCAGTAAGACAGCAAGAGACGGCTGAGACAGCCGGGTTAAGCATCAGCTGTGCTCGTCGTCTCTGTCCAAACAACTCGAATGAAAAAGGAGTAAACAGAGTATTTAGCTTGACATCAGTGTTTTCATCACTATATGCTGGTATAAATTTCACCCCCCCAACCCTCCTAAAGCACCATCCCACATCAACAATAATGGGAATGTAAAAATCGCCCGTAGTCCAAACTTCACACTCTAGAAGGTCTTCTCAGGTTAAAAAAAGACTTTGTGGAACATGATTAAAATAATAGTGAAATAAATTAATAATGTGGAAATTTAATTATTTTAACTATGAAACCAGCTGTCAAAATATGTACACATCCTTCAACAAATATTAAATGTGTATATATATATATATAAATCGCTGTCCAAAGAAAAACAAGTATCTCCAAAATAGTAACTCTACAGGAGAAAGCAAAACCGGTCTTTACTTTCAATGTAAGTTAATGGAAAAAATATTTTATACTAAGGAGAAAATTAAAAATCACAAAAATCGGAGATAAGATCATTAGACAGCAACGATATATATATATATATATATATATGTGTGTGGCACTGGGACAGACAAAGGATGCTTATAATCACGCCTCATCATTCCTCCAACATAGTATGTGCAAATATTTGCACAGTTCTGTAATCTGATAAAAGTGATATTACATAGAAAATTACATTTGTAATGCATTCCTTTTGGTTAACTTATGTTTGACAGGTTTAAGCATAGTTTAAAGTTGACGTGGATCAGAGTTGATAGTGTAGTAATAACCCGACTCTAAAACCACAGCCTGCATTAATTACCCTGCAACTGCACACATGGCTGATCACATTCTCAGTGTTACTCATGACCAGCAGTTTAATTACTCAGGTTAACAGTAATTTTCACCTGCAGTGATGAACGAATACATTTTTGTACTTATTGTACTTAAATTCCGCTTCAGTTCTTGTGTTCTGACAAGCCCCACCCATCCTCTGCACTACGACTGGCAGGCTGACTACTGACTAGCCAGTAGTAGTGCTACTGCAGGAGGGGGGGCTTGCTGGAACACAAGTGTGTGAGCTCACACGTTTCGTGTCATTTTAACTGACTCGCTGGGGATCTGAGGACTGAAATAGACCAAACTATTCATAAAGCATTTATCCACTCCAGCCGAGAGAGCGACGGATGAGCAATAACCACCAGCAGGTCAAACACACATTTCAACATCCACGAGAACAGAGATGATGGTCAGTGGAGCAGTTTAGCCTTTTAAACTCCTTGAGACCACCGGTGGTTCCAAAATGCACTTCGTCATATTCTTCATAACTTTCATATTTCATAAGCTACATTCTAAAGGTGGGGGTCGTATGAGAGCTGTAACTGTCTTCTTTCCAGTCAAATAGATGGGTGATGTGATTTTAAACCCTTATAATAAAAGAAGCTGAACTTTTTCCGACCCAGTTTTCCACAAATCTGAGCTATAAACTATAAACAGACGGCGTCTCTTCAGTGATCTGCTCTGTAAAAATTATTTTTATAAAATAATACAAAGAGCGTCTCAGATTTTTGGCTTTCAGCAGTACATTGTAAGCATATAGCGATATGTGTAGATCATAAAACACATTTACTGTAATTTAACTTTTACAAAAAATAAATAAAATAAAAAGTCGTGCAGTTACTGAATAATTTGCCTTAGAGTTGGTCATGTAAATTCAGATGGAAAAGCCAAAATATACCAACGGCATAAGAGGTTAAAGAACTACAAGCACCTTAAAAAAACTGTTGGTCATGCCTGCATGTTCAGACTCCCCCCAGACAGAGAGCAACATCTCAGGTTCTAAAAGCCTGTATAAGCTGATAAACAGCCCTGATTACGAGGGGCTGATCCTGTTATCCTGTGACACGTTATACATAAAACGGAACAAGATCAGTTTAATAAAAAGTCATTTGAATGTTACAACGTTAATGTCTTTACAAGACCAGAAATAATGAGCTTTTTATTGGGGGAGGGAGGGTGTAATTATTTGATGATTAGTGCACAGCTTCATTAATATTAATGAGTATTCATTAGAGGGAGAGATAAACAGCGAGAAGAAGATGAGAGGGCCAACAAAAAGGGCAGCAAAGCAGCAGATGAAGGTTTGCACACGTACACACACCCCCCATTCACGCTTCACACGCAGAACCACATTAATTTATGTATCTGATCAAAGTAAAACAGGTTGCATTTATTAAACTTGCATTTTAAAATTAGTGAGAGGCAAAAAAAAAAAAAAGTATGATTTAAACAGCCTGTACAACAGCATCCAGGAACCATAGCGATTAAGAATCTCCATTGCAGCCTTTATTGAAGTTTACAGGAGTTTTGTAGAAATCAAAGAAGCAAATGTCATCGGGCAACCAGAGGCTTCCTCAAATCCGGAGAGAATACACGTGTGTGGGTTTGCTCTTAAATAGTTTCCTTAAAGAACGACCAATATATTCTTCGTTACAACTGTCCTCGCGCTAACAGTCAGGAAAAAAAAGAAAAAGGAAAAAAAAAAGAAAACATTCAGTAAACATTCTTCTCTAAAGGCAGTTCCCTCATATATACTGTGATTTCCTCTGTAATTATGTATACATAAACAAGTTTAATAACATAGCAATCAGTGGTTATTTCACAATTGGAAAAAAAGCACAAAAGGTTTACACTCTTTTACAGGTAAATAAAAGATCGTCGTGTTTTCTGTCCACTGTTTTTTTCTCCGTAAGGGTAGCATAGTTCAGGAGTTTCGCCTCCTTTCTGGCTTTTTTTTGTATGCGGTTCTGTTTTTTGTCGTATTTTGTGTAGTTTTTTTTTTCGTCCTCTCTTTTTATACTATTACATAATTTGATTTTTTTTTTTACATACAAATATTGACAAAATGGCAGCTTCGTCACTGAAGCCGTCAAGTCTATTTGATGTGAGCGGATAGTCGTGTGGAGGCATGGCTAGGGGAAGTTTTTTCGGACAGTGGCGGAGGCTCATAGCTGCCCGTCGCTGCAGTGGGCGTCCGGACTGTCGCTCTGTTTCTCCGCCTCCTGATCGGGCAGCTCCTTCACCAGGAGGGCGGCGCTCTTCTCCGAAAACTCCTCCCCGTCTGGCTCCAGGCCTTCTGGACAGGGCAGCTTCAGAAGCTCCTCCCTCAGCTGGGCTGTGTGCCTCTGCATAAACACAAAAACACATGGGTTAGAAAAAAAGGTACCAATTTAAAATTAAACTACCTTATAAAAGGTTTATGAACGGTTTCAAATTAGTTTGTACATGGTGATTAGTTGGGTCATAAACACTTTAGAAATCACTTAGAAACAGTTATAACACATGGGGGCAGTCATGGGTTGGCCGGTTCGAACCCCTGAGCCGACAGTATGTGACTGAAGTGCCCTTGAGCAAGACACCTAACCCCCAACCGCTCCCTGGGCGCTGTGGATAGGGCTGCCCACCGCTCCGGGCAAGAGTACTCACTTTTGAGGTCATTATGTCCTAATTAATAACCGTTAAGTCAATTAACCGATAACTCATTTTAAACCCTTCATGAACCCTTTATAAAGGTAGTCTTATCTTAACCCCTTTGAATGGCCAGAGCGCCAGCCGGCCCAAAGGTTCTTCACACACTTCTATAACAGACGAACAGCTCAGCCAGTTTGTACTGAAGGCCCTGTAGTTACTAAATAAGTCTCAGCATGTAACACGCTTGGGATTTTAAGGGGTTAATCAGACCCAGATCCAGTTGGTAAATGTGTACAGGTTAGATTTGATCTGATTCTTTGATCTGAGAATTTGGGGGGTGCACCCTATCCTTTGTTATAGGTGCCATATAATTTGTGTTTTAATGGGGAATTTACCTTCGACAGAGCTTAAAAAACCTGCTATGATAGCAATTAACAGGCATTCTGGTATTTCTTAGCTTACAGTGCATGTATATCTCTCATTTGTAATTATATGGGGTCCCCTGGCTCCTGGGGTCCCTAAGTGTTTGCCTACCTTCGGCAGTACGAAAAAACTGCTTTAATGGCAATTAACCCCTTAAAAACCCAGGTTTAGTCCATATTAAGGCTTATTATTCAGTAACTACAGGGGCTTCAATGCAAACCAGCCGAGTTATAGACGTGTGTAGTTAAACGTGTAGTTGGCTATTTAAGGGGTTAAAGTGGAACTGAAAAAGTCTAAAAATCGGACACAATATGCTTTTACAAATGGAGTCAAACCTGTCTGCTTCTTTAGTTTGGCACTAAAGCAAATTCTATAAAAACACAGTCACAGTAACTTCAGCGGCTACATTTCACCCACACTTTCGTCGGTTTTGAGAAGACTGGAATCACATTTCCTATTAATAATTACTGTTTTTTTTTTCATTCAGTAGTAACTTGTGCAGTATAATACTATAAGCTGGGCACTAGGAGGCATTTTTAGGAACACCAAGAAGTTAAATTATGCAATAATAATAATAATAATAATAATAATAACAACAATAATAACAATAATAATAACAATAATATCCTGTCATAAAACTTTCTTGATAAGTTACCTGCCTCAAGATTTGATTTTTCAAAAACGAGGCATTCTGGACGTAATTTAAGTCTAACTTTGTTCTCAATGTTGCAGAACTTTCTCAATCATAGAATCATCTACAGCTCTGTTAGTCATTCTGGAAGAATCTAAGGCTTTGTTTACACAGCAGGTAAAAGTGGCCCAAATCTGATCTTTTTCTCCATATTTCACACAGATCTTCACACAGCAAAAAGACACTGAATCTGACACTTTCAGTTCCGATTTGAGACACTTTCATATGTGGTACTGAAATCCGATACGTATCCGATCTGCAGCAAAGCGACTCAGTCTGAACAGCCAGATCAAAATGTGACTTTTATGTCAATCCAACTCCACATTCGGCATAATTTTGTGCTGCTGAGACTCAAAACATTTAGCCTGATGTTTCTGTATCAAAAAATTAGAAGGCACTGATCACAACTGCTCAGTGTTCGAAAAGATTCTGAAAGAAATGTCCAAACGCGGCCGGAGGAGAACGAGGCTGCAGCGTCAGAACAGTTACAAGTCTGAGTTTAAAGAATCCGAGAACCAAAGAAGTGACCGCGCTCTTTTTACAGCTCGAACACATTCTGGGTGATAAGTCCAGCTGTCGGTCAGTGAAGCTTCATGATGGCTCCTGTGATGCTGGTGAAGATGAAGCTGATCCTCCGGGAGCGACTGGCGTTCGCTGGCAGTCGTGACTGTTGACCTCTGGATGAGCCGCGTGAAGCTCTGTTCTTTTGCACATGCGGCTCAGTTTAGGAGCTGATCTGTTCAGACTGATGTCTCATACAGATCACATTTAAAAGATAATGTGAAATTGGATTTGGTGAGAAAATCAGATTTGGGCCATTTTTACCTGCTGTGTGAACGCAGCCTAAAAGTTGTGGAGCAGTAGCATCTTAATAGAATCACTTTTATATTTATCTGCAACAAAGCTGATTTTATATCATTCAAAACACTGATTCCAAACTTAGGAACAGTCCAGTACCAGAAACTGTACAAGCAAGTCTGTTTGAGATTATATGAGATTAACGAATCAAACTCTTCTTGGCTGATTAACTGACTGACTGACACTGCTGGGGCGAGCGTCTCTATTAGGCAATAGTGTTACCTTGAGTGCCGCTGCATGGTGTGACATGGTGCGTCCCACTCTCTTGTCGCTGCTGTACTGCTGGATGTCAGAGATCCACTCTTCACACTGAGCCATGATCTCCGCTCGCTTCAGGTAGAAGTGCTTGTGGATCACCTGCAGACAAACACATCATTCATTTAAACACATTTTAACCTGTGCAGCACACGTTACATTTAAAACCTACAAAAAACGCACTTTATAACGTTCATGTCTTATTCTGACAGACTGCAATACACTCCACCATAAACGAAGAACAAGCTAGTTGCACAGACAAAACCAATGGCTGATAGGAACAGAAGAAGGCATATTATCATTATTATTGTCAGGTTACAATTACACTGGTCAGGCATAACATTATGACCACCTCCAATGAGCGTAGACCATTCCACACTCATTGTCCATTTTATCAGCTCCACTTACTATATAGGTGCACTTTGTAGTTCTACAGTTACAGACTGTAGTCCATCTGTTTCTCTGATACTTTGTTAGCCCCCTTTTATCCAGCTGTTGGCTGGATATTTTTGGTTGGTGGACTATTCTCAGTCCAGCAGTGACACTGAAGTGTTTAAAAACTCCAGCAGCACTGCTGTGTCTGATCCACTCAGACCAGCGCAACACACACTAACACACCACCACCACGTCAGTGTTACTGCAGTGCTGAGAATGATCCACCACCCAAATAGTACCTGCTCTGTGAGGGTCCATGGGGGTCCTGACCTCTGAAGAACAGGGTAAAAGGGGGCTAACAAAGTATCAGAGAAACAGATGGACTACAGTCTGTAACTGTAGAACTACAAAGTGCACCTATATAGTAAGTGGAGCTGATAAAATGGACAATGAGCGTAGAAACAAGGAGGTGGTCATAATGTTACGGCTGACCGGTGTATGTTCCATTGCTTTTATACGTCAGTTTCACTCTCCCACTCAACACACCCTGCATGCTGAGGGGTGTATATGATGCAAGTCTTCATTTTACCCACATTATGGAGCCTCTGCCTGGGAGAGCAGCTGGAGCTTTAGAACGCTGGTCTCTGAGCCCTGCGGTTAGAAGGACCCCTGGAGCCAAATCCCAAAGCGCACAACTCCAAACCGTCAATACAGAGTTAAGAACCAGTGAAATTTCACATGCAGAATTGCATTCATTGAAATTGCTGCAGTCAGGAGTTGTGAAAAAACTAAATTTGTGCGCAAAACTTTGGTGACTCTGACACGCAGATTTGCTTCATGGACTGTCAGCACACGAGCCTTGAATGTAGATAATGCTGAATGAATCCTTCTAACTACCTAACTAACTTACAGCTAACTTACCAGCAACCAGCTAACATCTTTAGCCACAGCTGAAACGCCGAGTCACTGTTAAACTGCTTTCTGCGCTTTTTATCTCTATTTATTTGCTGATTTTCTGGTCCCTGGTTACACATATTTTGTAAGGAGAACTGCTAAAATCTAGAGCGACTGAGGCTTTAGGTGCTTGTGTTTCTCGAGTACAGTCGATCACACTGGGTCTGGCCCACATGTTCCCCATAACGGAACCTCTAGTACACATTTTTCCACTCTGTTCTCCGACTTCTTTTTGAGAAGGAAAATTCGCTTTTAGCTACAGAGCACCAGCGAGGAACTCATTACAGGAAACTCTGAAGCTCTGCTCGCTGGTGTCACATGAACATTTTAAACGTTTAAGTCTTGGTCTTTAACCACTCAGCCTGCAACTGTTCACCTTCAGTTAACATTTAATATGTTTTTGTATCACTTGTTTTTCTTATTTATGTATTTTTTTTATTTTTTTATCAACTTTTACTTCTTAGCTGCAAGTTGTTGTAGATGAAGCTGTTTACAGCTTCTATTCCTTTATGTTTCATTAACCATGTTTTTATTTATTCTATCCCTGTTTGATCTGTTATTTATTGTCATTATATTGTTGCAATTTTAATAGTTTATTCTGAACTGATTTGTTTTTTTTACTATTACATTTACTATTTTTTTATTTTAGCATTTGACGTGTTTTGATTTTTTCAATCCCTGATTTCTGGATTGGCTCGGCTACACTGTAAATGAGGGTCTCCCTCGGTGTACTCTGAGTTTAAATAAAGGTTGATTGACTGATTGATTGAGTGCTAAAGCTGCAGTATGTTGAACAGGGGGTCCAAGATATCCAGGTTCTGCACAGAGTCGTAATTCTGCAGCGAAGAGAATGACAAAACTCTGGAACCCAAACTCAATACAGTAGAACATAAACGGAGTAAAACTTCTAAAACCGTTCAGACCTGCATTCGTGCACTGAGCCACAGAGAGGAAGTGAAGCACCCTAACAATACTCCAGACTCCTGTCCAAATAATCTAGAGGCTAATAAAAATGCATATCTATGAAACAGAACAAAGACAATTGACTTCTCAGCAACGATCAGAGCCGCTCTGCCCCGAGCTGATTAACTCACTCTCACTACCTACTGTACCATGATGTAATCCAGCTACAACTCTGCCTCCTACCAGCCGTCTCTCAGGCAAGGCAACAGCTACTATGCGGAGGCAGAAATGTCAGAACAGTCACTTTCCTTTCACTCATTTTCATCAGATGAGTTTGCGCTATTTAAAGAATTACATTTTCACAATTCCTCCCCTTCACAGATTTACCTTAAACCTCACGAGGTGTTCAGGCAAACAGACTTGCGAATATTGTTTCACACTGTATGACAAAAAAAAAAGAACAGATACAGACAAATCCAGGCTGCTCTACTGTTTTTTAGCTGCGACACACTTTTGTCCATACACACACACACACACACACACACACACACACACACACACACACACACACACACACACACACACCCCTTTCCAAAAAAAGTTGGGACGCTCTGGAAAATGTAAATAAAAACAAAATGCAGTGAAGTGCAAATCATTTAAACCCTATATTTAATTGAAAATAGAATAAAGACAACAAATCAAATGTTGAAACTAAAATTGTATTGTTTTCTTTCTTTCTTTCTTTCTGTTTTAAGTATATGCCCATTTTAAATTTGATGCCAAAAACACGTTCCAAAAAAGTTTGGACAGGGGCAACAAAAAGGCTGGTAAAGTTACGAAATGCTAAAAAACACCTGGTGGTTAATTGGCAAGAGGTCAGTAATTAAAGTAAGTGTTTTGCTTTAAAAATATGGTTTACATGATTTTCATATCATTACATTCTATTTTTATTTACATTCTGCACAGCGTCCCAACTTTTTTGGAACTTTTTGGAAATGGGGTTGTGTGTGTGTATATATATATATATATATATATATATATATATCAGTGCAGAGTGCTTGATGCAGTGTGAGGAAAGTGTGCAATGATTTAGGCGTCTAGCTTTTATGACGCTAACTGGGCTACATAAGCTTTCTTTACTTGTTAGCTACATTAGGCCTGTCAGGGGCGTGGCTAGGCTAGTTTTAGGAGAGTTCAGCTCTCCTTAAATGTTATTTAGCCCCCTTAAATAAACGTACATCATTACTTCAAATCATTCATAGCTTTTTTCATTCATTCTTCATTATTCAGCACATCAACATGTCTCCAAATTCACAATGTACTGTAATAGCAGAGAGCAGTGCTGTAACTGGGGGAGTTGCTGCTCTAATCCAGAGCTGCCTTGACTAGAAACTTTCCAACCTAATGTAAGAGGATATGGCAACCCTCTGCTGTTTAACATGGTAGAAAAGTGTAACATTCGGCTCAACCTCGTGAGTTGTCAGCCAAAAAAAGACGTAGGGGGAAGGTCTCTGGTGCTACTCACTCTGCAAAGACAGCCGCTGACGTTGTAAGACGTTTGGTTAAAAGCTTAGTAAAATAAACATTGGGTCTTGTTCAAAATACATCATATAATACAACTCCAAAAACTAAATTTACAGCACAAAAAGATTTTACTTGCAAAAGAAGTTAATGTAGCCAATTTTCTGCAAGTAATTTTGTACGATTTATTTACGTCTTTAGGTAATAAAAGAGATACATGGTTTTTGCGTAACAGCAGTAATTCAATAGTTTTAAAATACACAATGACGATACAATACAAATCTGTGACAAACTAAAGTAACATAGCTATTAAGATTTTACTAGTTGCTTGTTAGCCAGATAACATCAGGTTCACATTAGGTAAAGAAAGGGGGGTAGAAACAAACATTAGCTACCTGAGATGCCCAGTATTTTAGTCTAAGCATGAATATTTAAAATTGACATTTTATTTGCAAAATCAGTTTTACAGGTATGGTTACCTTTGGACACACTTACTCATAATTACCAATGGACATGACAGAATAAAGCACAAGGAAAAAATGAGATTGTTTAGGACCTTCCCTCAGGGTAAGATATTAACAGCTGCTATATTTGCCAGTACATTTTCTGATTTAAGTTGTATGTCAGTTGCTCTATTGGAAGCACTGTTGTATCCCGGGACAACCAGAAATCAACAAATGGAACCTGAGGATTTGACCACAAAAGTCAAATCATATTTCTTGGCCAAAGATACTATAATAAAAAAACACCTTGTTTTATAATCAAGTACAGAATCTATATTCAATATCACACTGCAGGAGAAAAGACCCCTGAACCAGTACCTCCAGTGCAAAACCTGGACATCAAACATGCTGGATGATTGACTACATTTGGGGTAATACGGAAATTGTGTAAATCTGATTTTGCACTATTGCTTTAAACTAGCCACAGAGGCCAACACCAGGTCAAGAACATACACAGAGATACAGCCAAATCTACTGCGAATGTGTACCGCAGTTTAATACAGCCGACGAAAAGCTTTGCTTTGGCTTGTTGGATGACATTGACTCTGACAGTGACAGAGGATTTACACGTCCAGGTTCAGGGTCACTTTTGGCTTCTAGGTTTTTCTCTGAGCCTAAGCTTCAGGCAACCAGTTCAAAATGCTGGGGTATCTACAGGATGGCTAAAAAATGGACTTGAGCCAAATAACGGTAAAACGGAAACACTAAGCACTGAGTAGTAGCTCACTGCAGCTGAGGATATAAAGGCTGAAAGTGAGAGAGAGATGGGAGAAGGTCAAGCGACCTGACATCACACTGATTACGTGAGGAGACGTTAATGCAGAGAAAAGCTGATGGCGTGCGTGT